GAATTACTAATTATAAAGAACTCCTCTTTCTGTCTCTAGGATATTCTAGCTTGATTTTGGACTCTACTGGTACCAATCTCTTCGCAAACTGCACGGATGACAATATTTACCTGTTCAACATGACAAGTTTAAAAACCATGCCAGGTAAGAATGATGCCCATGGAAATAGCTGCTATAATACTATAAGGCTTGTAAGAGTCAGACATCTAAAACAGAGGTCTAGATGGCTCAGCGTTTATTAGCTTTAGTTTGGATGGAGGTCAGTAATCAACAACAAAATGGCTGGCCGTCTTAGGGAAATGAACTTGGTTTCCAGAGCTTGGGTATCTCCACCCCCTATGCTGGTACCGATTTCGCAACCTTTTGTTAGCAGTTCAGATAGGCCAAACAAAACAGGTCTATCCTCAGCATGTCTTTTTCAGCTGTGAAAGCAGGAGTTTCATGAGGGGCCCGAGTGAGGAATGGATACAGGAATTTGGATAAGCAGAAGTGTCTGTCCACTTTAAATGCATTGAGGCCAGCAGCCCTCTTAACAAGCCCTGGCTACCTAATTAGAAATGGTTGGCTTCCAGTCATTACCTTCTCTTCTAGCCCCTACTTTTTCCCCAGCCTGTCCCCCAGCTACTTTTGAACCAGTGCCCTGAAGGACTAAAATCCCCTGCCTTCTACTGTCGATCTTGGAATTCGTAAGGTGTATTAGGAATTCTGTATGAAGACAAAAAAGACCAGGTGGTCATTTATCTTCAAAATCCAAAGATGTCACCAATATGCATCTAAGTTTTTCTTTATAAGCATTTGCAGGTGCGAATTTCCATACAAAATTTCTGTAGTGTGTGGTGTCTTCAGCAGGGATCAGGGCTAGCATTTTAGGTGCTTAGTATTATTGTTAGTGGTCCTCAAGCTGTGATGCAAAGAGCTGCTTTGTCACAGACTGCTGAACCCTTCACTAAGTAAGCACTGACTCTCCTTCCAGATATAGCACATTCAGTGATGTTCTTCAGACTTTCTAGAGGCTTTTCTTGTTTTAATCAACTGAACTCCAATGGGCAAGGCTGACCCTGTATCTTCAGGGAAGGCAGCCTGGTAGGTGTTTCCAAAGCTGATAAGTAGTACACACATTAAGCATTAATAGTTTAAGCCCCTTGATCTCAGACACTGTGCTGTTGCTCAGCTCTAGAACTATTCTTGCTGTGCAGTCTTACCTGGAAAAACAAGTCCTGTTCTAGAAAGACAGGATGGTGTCCACTGTGCCTTTTAATTGGTCACTGGCTTCTGTTTTGTTAGCATCTGACAAGTCTCAAATCATTTTACGAGACACAAAGCATTTCACTTTCGTTTTGAGAACTCTTGAGAAAAGAAAATATGCCCAGCAGATGGCAGCAGATTTATTTGAATGAGGAGGAAATGGCAGGAATACCTGGGGTGCTTGTGTATAGGCTTTCTTTTATTAAATCATAGCTTTAAATCCAATCCATTTAGTACCTAGATCCATTCATTTTGGAGGAGGAAGGGGAAGTAGTTCTGCAACTAGATTTGTAATACTGCCAGTACGTGAGCTCATGCCACATCCTGTAACTATGACCGCTATGTTGAAACAAATGCTGGTGGTAACCAAAGGAGCTGGCAGGGTGGGGTGCCCCTGGGACATGCCCCAAATTCTTATCTCCTCTGTTCGATTGTCACTTGCCTTGAAATAGAAACTTTGGTAAATGGGCTATAGAACTTGTTAGTCTCAGGGTAACCTCTCTAAACACCTGCTAGACAGCTACTTTCTTAGCATGTTACTGCTGTAAATTGGACACTGGCCTACTCGCACCATCCACGTACTACAGACACTTCCTAGCTTCTTATGCCAGTGTTGACAGAGGACCTCAATCACATGCTGTGCTAAACTGGGTAACTTGACCTTTTTAACCTGATAAGTCCAGATGCTGGTTAGCCAAGTACTCCAGATCTGCATGCAGCTCCTGTGCTGGCTGTTGGCACTTCCGGTTCTTGCCATACCAAGAATTGCAGCTATTCAAGGCTGTAGTTTCAAGGCTGCATAGATCAGGTGAGGTGTTACTGAGACTTTAGAAACAGATAAGTAACCAGCATTGCTGAGCCAGCATATGAACTAGACAGCATTAAACCAGGTTTTAGCTAACAGTTTCTAGGTTCCCTTCTTGTTGTAGGATTAGGAGACAGAAACACACTGGAGTGAGTGCAGGGTTCAGGTAGGACCCTCCCTAGCATGGGAAAAGATATTAAGATTCTGGCTCTGTTTTGCATTAATAGTGGCATCCAGGTTTGGCAGCTACATGCACTTTATCCCAAGGGGATAAAGCTGTGAGGGGCAGTTTGGGTGCACTAGCATAGTGGTGCCTGCTGTGAAGTAATGGTTGAAACTGTGAGCCCTAGATCAGCTGAGCTTGTGTAGCCACTTTGTTTTGAAGATGTGTTAACTGGCCAGAAAAACCTGTAATGTCAGCCTCAGTTGTATAACCAGCTTAACGCTAGCATTATGTGCTGACTTTTGTGTTTTTGTCTCTCAGCGGCAGTTTTCAGTGGACACCAGAATTCAACCTTTTACGTCAAATCCAGCATTAGCCCAGATGACCAGTTCCTGGTTAGTGGCTCGAGTGATCAGAGTGCCTACATCTGGAAGGTGAGATGCTTGGGAGAAGCTCAAAAACACAGGTCCAGATCAAATGCCCTGTTTTACCTTTTGCTTGTTCTTTCCCCATTCCCACAGGGCAGGGAGACAAGGTGGGGTGGAGGGAGGGGTTATTTTCATACCAGCACAGGGATTAGCTCCTGAAAGTTGTGCCCGGTGCATGTAGCTGCCAAACCTGGATGTAACTATTAATGCAAAACAGAGCTAACCCCTGCCACCAATCTGTCTCTCCTCACTGCTGCTTGTTGCAAGCTGCTGAACTTAATCTGGTTTTAATGGGCATTAAAATCCTCTTTCAATCCTGTTTATTCATCCAGCTATGACAAGTGGAAGTTCTTGGTTCATATTTAGCAAGGGCACACATTAGCAGCCTAACAGTAACAGCTTGATTGTTTTAAGGGGAACTTTTTTCCAGTTTATAAACTCTTGCTTCAGACGTAGGTTGTGTTTTGGTTTTTTTTTCCCCTCATGCTTAATTTACAGTAGTTAGCCTTTGTGTTACAGCAAAGGCTCAGTCAGAGCCTTCAGCAAAATTCCAAAGTGCTGGCTGACAGTTGAGAAGCTTAGTCACTTGGCATCTTGAGCTGACAGAGGAAATGCAAATGTCACTGTGTGAAAAGCAGGGACCTAAAAAATGAAACATGTTCTATTCTTCCCTATACACATACACCTTGCATTCTATCCGCACAGAAATAGAGAAAACAGTGTTTCTTTATTGAGATGAACAAGTAAGATTTTGGGGTAGCAGTTGTTCTATGTTTTTCTTGTTTTTACCGTATAAAACTCGTTAGATTAGATTTTCTGATGTGGTGCTGAAGGCGGCTTTCAGTGCTGTTCCTGGTGTAACATTTCAGACCTAACTGGAACAGCAGGCAATTGGCTAAGTTAGAATCCTACATCTTAATTGGCCACAGGACTTTTCCCTGCTTCCATCTCAAAACTGTCATTCCAGTGTTTATTTTACATTGACTTAATTACAGTTGCTCACATGCAGAAGAAGCCTCTGCCAACCCTGTAGTACTGCTTGCTTACGCCACTCCCATATATTTATAGTTCTGTTACTGTTCTCTTACTTGAATTTCCTCATCCTGGCAGCTGCCCCATGGTGGTGGATTTCAGTAGGTGGGGATGTACTTCAGCACCAACCTCAAGCTAAACCCCATTAGCTTGAATCTTCATTTCATTTCAAATATTGTTTCCTGCACCCAAGGCCTCTGCCTCTTCCCCTCCCCCTAGTACATTTTTTCTCTTAGCACAATGTAATCTCTGTTCTCTCATTGCTATTGTGCAGAATTCTCTCTCCTTAAGGAAGAAGGGAGAGCTGTTTTAATAGTTTTCATGCTCTATATCAGACACCTAGGCAACTTCATGCATACTTGTATAAGCTCTTCTGAATTCCTTGGGTTAAGCTTATTCAGGACCTGCTGATTTACAAGATATAATGGTTTCACTCCAATCCATAGCTAAAACAATATGCACCTTCTAATACCAGGTGTTGGCGACGATAGCTGTCCTAAAATCTTCCTAGATTTCCCACCAAATTCTTTCTTCTATTTCAGTTTAGAAATAAAATCAATAGTGGGAGTACAGAACACATACTACATCAGGCTTGGTAAAAGCCTTGTAGCCATGTTGGTGCTGGATGGATTTCTGTTGTAGTTGCAGAAATTCAGGGGAGTGTTGCTCACATCAGAACTGGTAGATATAATTAGCTCTATCAACTTGAGGTCCTTTGGTTCACCATAAATGTCCCCACACTTAGCCAAGAAAGAGGCCACGCGCGCGCGCGCACACACACACACGCACACACGCGCACACACGTCCATCTCAAATCTGTTCAGGGTACCTTTTTAATGGCTTTTATAAATCAAATTTAAAAGTGGATTTAATGTCTATCCCTTTGCTTATGTAAGTTTTCTAGTGTTGTAGCATGTAGGTGCCAAGCGTCTAATTAAAACAAATTTGCATTGGCTGGTCAGGTGACCATTATTACTTAAATCTAATAGCTATTCTGAGTAAATGGTAGCTTTCTCAATGCCATTAAGTCCTCCTAAATCCAACCTCCCCCTGGATTACTTACTGCATACTGACAGCTACCAGGCTTTACTGACACTGATCTATACATACTCTTCATTAGGATGATCAGCAGTTGTGCCATAGAACATATATGGCTAGCCACTCTTGAACAGCAAGCAATTGAGACAAGTGGACAAAGGCTGAATCAGTATTGTCAAACAGGGATGGGACTCTGTAGGAAGGTGCTGCTGACTACACATTCAGGGGCAGGTGAAAGATAAATTAGTGAGGTCTAAGCAAAGATGCTATCCACTCAAGTCACTTTCTGGATACTCTTGACCAGCAATGGGAGGTTCTGCCTGGGTCAGTAATTCCCAAGAGATACCATGGACAGAGGTTATTGCTGAACTGACAAATAATATCATTTGGTTCCAGCATGTGATGATCATGCACATAGTGGGCATTTCAAGAAACATAACAGTTAGTCCATTAAACAACTGAATCTGTAAGAACTCTAGTGTTCAGCACAGCATTTAGAGCAGGGGATGCAACAATCTGAGCATATGATCTTGCTCAGCAACTGCCTGGGAATAGCAAATAATTTCCTTCACACCATTATTTCACAGTGGGTACACGGTGAACTTCTAGATGTGGGGAAGGAGGAATAAGGAAAGGGCAAATATAAATAGAGGGAAAAGGAAGAAAAAGTAAAGAACCAACTCTATACGCTCTCTCAAATTGTCAGGGAGGTCATAATGTGGCAATGACAAAGCATTACCACTTTCATTATAGTCATCATCCTTAATATGGAATTGTAGGTGTACACACTAGCAAACAATTTAAAGGAGTATATGACTAAAGGGTGAGATCCCTTGCTTTTTCATGATCTCACAGTACCTTCCTTAACTTTGTGAGGAAGGATACTGAAGTAGGGGACCCATAAGTCTGATCCAGTATCAATACCTATGTTCCTTTGATGCATATATTCTGCCACATGTAGCCTGAATTGTAAAAAGAGGGTATTTTTAGGTCTTGAAGGTGTTCTGGCTTTCTAGTGGTATCATAAGATATTAGGGGGAAGGGGGAAAGCAGTTGTGACGCTGCCTTTACCAGAACCCTAGGGGGAAAACAGTATTAATAATCAAATTTTAACTCCTTTTTCTTTCTTGAGATAAGTGGCCTGATGCTTGCCTTGCCCACAATGACATGAAATAGGTGCTGCTACAGCATTGTCAATTAAATTATACAGATATCAATCCAGTCTGCAAGCAGAATCTGTTAAGATTAATTCTTGCCTTCTGTCCTGCCAGTAAACAAGGATTAAATAGATGTCTTGCTATGCACAATAAAAACCTACTAGATGTAAATGGAGGTATTCTCTGTACCAAGAACTCCTGCAGTTTATTCCTTAAATGGGGATTTAGTTTCCATGGTATTGCATGTTTTGGCAGAGAAGGGTGTATCTGAACAAGACATTTAATAGATATTATTTAGTCAAGTGGTTGCTTCCATCATGCCAAAAAAAACCCAGTCTGTTATGATGATCCTGTTTAATTCAGAACAACTCTTAAATGTTCTGCTTAGGAATCCTAACTATAGCTTTTCATGCTGTCATAGCAAGGGATCAAAATTTGACAAGAAAAGGAAATTGATTAAGAAGCTGGAATCCTTCCGTAACGCCCTGTATACATCCTTGAAAATCTCTGTATAAAATCTAATTTTCCCACATGCTAAAGAATCTATTACGTTCACTTAGTCATCAGCACAAATCCCCTGTATAATGTCAGATCACAAATGGTGACTCATTGCTCCAAGAAGCAGCACCTGCAGCAAGTGTGCAAAACAAAGAGAGAACTTTATATTTGCTGTCTGGCTGTGCCTGGGTTGTGGCAGGGCTTAATACTAGCCTCAAAGTCAGTCTCTATGCTAGTTCTGTGAGCTGTAACTCAAGATTGACAGTGCTGCTATCAGGCTAGAGAAAGATTTTATCTAAGATGTATTACTACAATCCGACAGGTACAACATAACCACTGTGTGTGCTCTGTTCTTGTAATTGTTTAACCAGATTTTAACAATGCTAATATCTTAGCATAAAGCTGATCATGAGTTAAGTGGCTGGAACAAGGCACTTGCCCACTGCCTGTTATGTGAATAATCAGTTTTGAAGTAAATACAAGTCAACGTCTGCTACTCTTTTAAGTAGGCCTTGGGTTTAAGATTGCATGCTGCTCTGCAAATGTCACCTTCACAAATGTCACTACAGAATCTTTGGAGGCAAATTTTGTTCCCAAAAGGAGTTTATAGATCCTTTAAATGCGATGAGTAGCCTCACCTGCTCTACTTTGTGTAGTGATGTGCTTGTGCCATATGCTGGATCCTGAAGCCAAAAGTCCTATGCACAGCAAAAGCTAGCAAATTTTGCTGAACACTACCAATACATCCCAATTGTGACCACCTGCTTCACTTGGAGGAGGGAAATTTAAAAATGTTCTCAAACCTCATTCAGACTCTTGCTTCTTTGCAGAGACCTCAGTGGGATGCTAATCCTCAGAGTTGAGCTGGGGGGTGGGGGTTAAAGATGAGGCCATTGGTATGGGAGGAACTAGATTGAAATGACCAGTTTATTTCACACAGATCCTCTGATTTCTAAATTGATTCCCCCTCCCCTGGGGTGGATTTGTTCTTCCAGATTTCTGAGCCTCAGCTCCCACCCAGGATGCTCCTTGGTCACTCTCAAGAGGTCACCTCTGTTGCCTGGTGTCCTTCAGACTTCACTAAGGTTCGTTTTTTGCAAAAAAAGCATTTTGCCTATTAAACCGTTTGTATGAAGGGCCAAACATTGATACAGTATTTGACAAAAAGGAAAAGCTCTACACCATCTCTTATTATGTTGACACCCCTAAGCTCTAACCTAAAGGCTAGTGGGTGGTACTTCTGTCTTTCTCCAACCTGACATTATCAAAGACAAATCCATACATCAGATTAAAGGTTCAGTTTAATCAGTGTATGGTGGGTGGAGGAAGGGGTTGGTTTGTTTTTTGAAGATTCTTAACTATGCTGCTATCTTAAAGTAGACTTGGGGGAGTATTTTAATGGGAGGGAGAAAAGATGGTGTTTCTGTGTTTGATTTAGAAAGCCTTCTAGGAAGAGGAAATGAAATAAATTGGCTAGCTAGCTGCTTCTTTTCATGTAATTTGGGCTGCTCAAAAACATTTTCATAGAAAGACTTCTTTGGGCTGTAAGTTTATAGAGTAAATTGGATTGTGTGGGTTTTTCTTGTTAAAAAATCCACCAAATATCTTTTTAAAATATCAGAATTATCAAAGACAGGTTTTATACATTTTTTTTAAAGTTTTCTAGTCTAACAAATCTCTCTAAATGATTAAGTCAAGCAATTTCAATTAGTACTTAAAACCTGCCAATAAAAAAACAAAAGGGCCTCTTTTTATTAAGAAATAGAGAATGTCTAGAAAATTAAGCTTTTAAAAACTTTCAGGTAGGTTTTCATCAAGAAAATGTTCCTTTTAGGAATGTCAAATTTCTCATTTGCAAAACTTAAGCCACTCCATTAAGTTCTCAATCAAATCCTCAAGTCTATTCAGTATGCTGCTGCTGTAAATTTATTTCTGATAACTTGAGTAGTTTGATAAGTCTTAACACCTTAAAATATTTGTTCTTAGAAAAGTATGATTGTGATGCAGACAAATGTTAAAATAAGTGAATTTAAATATTATGGTCTAAAAATTGCAAGTCTTCCCCCCCCCCCCCCCCCCCCCCCCCCCCCTT